ACAGTTTGACGGCAAGGCCTCCGAGCTCCAAGGATGGATCACTACTTCCGAGGAGCAGCTCCGCTACCATGGCGTCGCCATGGAACTGTGGCCCGTCGAGATGTCATCCCGTTTCACAGGTCGCGCAGCCTCTACTTGGCGTGACTTCCTCGCTCTTCGATCTCAGCGGGTTGTACAGGAGGKCATGAGCTATCAGGAGTTCCGCGATTTCCTGCAGCAGTACTTTTCTCGTCCTGCGCCGACCCGCGACCCGATTTCCCGGGTGGCCGAGATCAGATGGCTTGGTGGCGACAATGCCCTCGAGTCATATATCACGGCATTCCACCGTGTCCGTGCCCAGATCCCCGTCACCACCATACCAGAGGATCCCATGATCCARCGATTCCGCGCAGGCCTCCCCCAGGCATTCCAGCTSCAGATGATGGCCTACTCCATCTCTACGTTACCAGAGGCCTTCAACATTGCTCGGGCCATCCATCTTTCTTATGCCCCACTTGTTGGCTCTTCGCCTCAGCTCCCCGCCACCGATGCTGCTGCTGCTGCAGCCCCTCGCCTCTCCCAGTCTCGACAGTCTTCCACTTTCCGTCGTGGTCCCCGCAGAGGTCCCGACCGATCGCTCGCACGCCGATTCCACGCACTGCTCCGTGACCCGTCGAGTACAGAGGAGGGCACAGCCTCGGACGGTTCGGCGAGTGACCCAGACCAGGGGTATGACCCTCAGTCGCCCACGGAGGACGACACCCATTCCCAGGACGATCGCTTTCTCCAGGCCCTTTCCGCTCTCTTCCGGCGACAGCCCTCATCATCCAGGACTCGGTCCACGGTCGCCCAGTTGCCTCTACCAGCGGGTTTTGTGTTCCCCCGCGGCTGTTTGACTATCACGGAGAGTGAGGAGCTTCGCGCACGAGGCATCTGCACCCGTTGCCGTCTCGCCGGTCACACCCCCTCTACCTGCCCGTATGCGGACGCCCTCCAGAGCCATTTTGCACAACAGGCTCGCCCTCAGGCTGTCCCCCCCGCCTCGACCTCCAGCACAGGAGCCACCTAGCCACGTTGTCTCATCCCCCTGATCCTCCCACAGTAGCAGGCATTCTCGCCCGCGAGTCTACCTTCTCGCCACTTACTACTTTCTCGGAGGACTCGGACTCGACTTCTTTGTCGGTCGACCCTAGTGTTGCCGACCCACCTCCCACGCCTTCGCCTAGCGTCTCTCCTGACCCCTCTCCTCCTCCTCGTCCTCCTACTAGGCGTGCCCTTCGCACGGCCCACTGCAGTGCCTCCCTTATTGCAGCAGAGGATATCATCGACTTCCTGGACCTTGAGTGTGTTAAGGTCCGCCAGGAACGTCTCCGCCTTAAAGAGCACACCCTCRCCGCGATCTCCCAGCGCTTACACAATCCCGATCGCACTTTACCGATTATTCATGTGCGCCTCGGGACCTCTACTAGAGTTTATCGCGCATTATGGGACTCTGGCTCTACTGGCGACTTCATCCATCCTCGCGTAGTCAAGRAGGCATCCCTCTACACATCTTCCTACTCCTCCACTGTCATTGTCACCCTTGGTGACAACCAGGCCAAATCCTTCGTCGATTCTATGGTGCCTGATCTTCCATTTTCCTTTCCCTTGCGGATGCCCTTCGCAAGGCCCCCCGGTTCCATGACCAGTGTACTTTCGACGTCATGGAAACCATATATGACATTATTTTCGGCACTGCCTACTCACATAAATTTGCTCATTGTGGCCCCGATTGGGTCCACAACGACCTCGTCCTCTACACCAAGGACGATCAAGGGTATCGTATTCCGTTGTTGGGCAAATCGGACCCTACACCTCYGCCCCCTGTTAATGTCTCCATTCTGACACCTACTCACTTTAACCACATTCTTCGCCAGCCGGATGCCGAACTTTACATTGTCGACATCACGGACCTTCTTACCTGCAACTCCATGCATCAGGACGTTGAGTTGGTCGAGCTCGATCCACCACCCCCCGAGCCTCCAGATCCTCCTAATTCGTCGGCTCCTTCCATTCCCACGTGCTCATCGCACTTTGTCGCGTCCTTTGAYAGGGAGACACCATCCGCACCTATCCCTACGCCGACTCCTTCCACTCCTGCTTCAGACGCTGCTGCGGATAAGGAGTTTGATGACCTCCCAGCGACCTTGCAGCCAAGCGTCGCTACTCTCCTTCGCGAGTATCGCGATGTCTTTCCTTATTCTGTCTCCTATAGTAGCATTCCTCCTATGCGTGACACCGAGCACTGCATCCAGCTCGAACCGAACTACCGTGTCCATCATCGAGCCCCATACCGCCTCTCGGTCCCCGAAGCCCAGGAACTTAAACGCCAGATCAACGAGCTGCTTCGTCAGGGCTTCATTAAACCAAGCACGTCACCGTGGAGCGCACCAGTCCTCTTCGATCGAAAGAAAGACGGCGCCCTCCGCCTCTGTCTCGATTACCGCGGCCTCAACCAGTATACGGTCAGAAACAGTTATCCCATGCCCCGCGCAGATGACTTGTTCGACCGCCTCGCTGGCCACCACTTTTTCACGAAGATTGATCTTCGCAGCGGATACCACCAGATC